AATTTTTCCATTCTAAACCTTTGCTTTTAAATTTTTCATTTATACAATTAAAAATACCTTCTCCGGTATTATTCGTGCATTCTAAAATAGAAATCAATGGCATAATTATCACTCCCTTTTCTTTACTGTAATATGTTATAATCAATGGATACAGTTTGTTACCATTGTTATCATTACTTCCATGAGTACTTAGGGAAAATGATGTATTGCACACTGATTTTATAATATCGGCAACATTACGTTCTGCAAGCGTTTTCATAGTAGTAGTACTTCTGGTATGACCACAGCTAAATTTTTTTGTTATGGCAGAATCAAGAGACATTGCTTTGAAAAGCTCTTTGGAATGATCTGAAACTAAGAGCGGTAGATTATGTTCAATTAAAAATCGAACAAAATAACATTCGGCTTTTATAAGATCTGTTTCATCATCTTTTATTAAAAAATTCACTATTTCTTTAGATTTTACAATACCAAGTTCTACATGCTTTTGAGAAAAACATGCCGTTTACAGTCATCTTTTCCGCCATGTGCAACTGAGAAGTCTGTTGCATACACTGCAGTGTGCGTGATTTACAGAAATTTTGGATTCCTTAATGCATGGAAATTCTGAAGAATATGAATAATTTTGGCAACTTTAATAATTTTGGCTTCTTCGTTCGAGGTAGCTTTATTAACAAAAAACTTCCACCTGAATCACAATTCATAAGACACATGCTAAGCTCTCGCCATAAACTAAACAATGGAGCTGAAGGCAGGATAAACACGCAGCAGCAACGAACCTGGGAGACAGACAAAGTAGACAGATGTTGCAGGGAACTATTGATAAATCATTAACAATTGGAGTAACTGATCAACAATTGGCTATTCTTCAAAATTAGCAACGTACTCAATACGTGATGTATGATGACCCAAATATTCAGGCAATCATCGGATGAATTAGTTGGTTCTGTTTTGCGTACTGGTTCTCCTACTCTGTTTCTGTAAAATCCTTAGTTTTTTCCATACTTTTTGTAGCTTGCAGTTTTTCATGAATTTCCGTAGAAATTACGGAGAATCTGTAATAGTTGGAGTCTATGCATGTGCTAAATTCAGTGATATATTCTAGATTTTATACTCTTTGGCTAATTTCATTCTCTTACACATTTGTACTGAGAATAACTTGGGTAGGTAAGAAAAGCTCTTATTTAAGTATAATGAAATTACAGTGAATAATTAATGCAATTCAGTTGTGTGGACAAATAATGTAACATTTATTGATGCCAAAAAAATACAAAAATTAATTGATTAAGCACTGATTAAATCTTCATTGAAAGTTATGCAAATGTCTACAGTATTTTAAGACAATTCAAGTCAAATAAAATTTAATAAGAAAAATTATGCCAGGAATCATTGCAAGCAAGGGAATGGAATTTAAGTTCCATTAATTTAATAAACTTTACTGCTGAGAAAAATTTTCTTCAGTAATGGCTAAAAAATGAAAAACTGAGATTTGGTGGCCTACCGGGAGACATGATAGAAAGCCAATGAGTTGGAAGCTATGCATTAGCAAGAAATAATTTTCCCACAGCAATAAATTTACATCCATTCCATGAGCAGTTGTCACAGTACTAGAAAAGATTCCTTTAAATTTTCCTTTAATTAAATACTTCAGCCACAGTTAATCTTAAAAAACAGCATTAAATGTTGTAATAATGACTAAGATTCACAACTGGATTTTCAGCATTTCTGGTCTCAGTTTAAAGGGTAATTTGAGATAACTGGCAAATGCTTAAAAATAGCAGCAGAATGCCAGCTTAAAACCCAAATACAAGAATCAAAGACAACATTATTCTTAAAGCAAGATGCAAAAAAACAACATGCACCAAACTTTCACATAAAGTCATCACAACATAGGCTCTCTTTTCCTAGCATGGATACTAGTATTTCACCTTCATAGTTACTTCAGAAAGAAAGGATATTTCTTTTGGAATGTTAGCCTATGCTTCTTTATAAGGGTCTTCACTCTATGTTTTTGTCACGGCTTCTCCTTCTGCAATTTTTTGTTCAGGGCTTGCCACAGATTGCTAAAAGCATTGACATTAAAATAAATTTGGCAAAGCTTAGATGGAATAGAGCACTCAATATGTAAGTTGAGCAAGATCCTTAAGAAAGCAAATCTGTAATCACAGTTCAGTCACAGATGCTTTCAAAAAATTCTCTGAATCTCCAGTCCCCCTCAAATAAAAGCGAACCACTTATACTAGACAGACCAAAACATGCTGAAATTGCATTAACGAGCTTAATGTCTTGCTTCACACAGTATGGAGACACTTTTTTTTATTTATGGCCCACTGATGACACAATGTATAAGATTTCTGAATACTAGTATATCGTCTATGTTTATATATTAGCAAATGAATTGGTGCATAGGTATTCTCATGTCTAACGTAAATACAAGCCAGTTTGTGTTTAAAAGTTCTCTGTAAAAGCATTTTAGGCAGACAACTCCAGCATAACCCATTATAATCAAATAATCCTGCATAGTATCATCAGGTGACTCTACATCTATTATTTTCCAAACAGCACTGGAAAGGACAGCAACTCTTCAGTCCAAATTAGCCTACCTAAGATAAGTGATCCTTTCCTCATCCAAATGCTTTTATTATACTGGGATCAGGCTTTTACTCATTAGAATTCAGGAAATAATTCATGTCATACTGCCATCTATTTATTATCTATTCACTTAGCATACAAAAGCATGTATCTCAATGAATCAGTACACCGATAAACCAGTATTAATTCATATCATGAATGTGCCCAGGTGATGTCTTGTAACAATCAAATGCAACATGTGAACTTCACTGGAGGAATAAGAGGTATACTATTATCTGTAATCAGATACAAGCAAATCAGTTTTCTCATTAGTGGTTGAAAAATTATCACTATCTAGTATCTAATAACAAATTCATTCAAGTTTTGAGCAATCTATTTCATAGCTACACCATATCACTGTTTCTGGAAGACTTTTTGACATATTTACTATTGTAGTCTATTTTTTTCAATTTGGAAGCTATTGATAACACAGATGAAGCACATAACATTTTGTTACCTTTCAAATATATAAATTCAAGTGTATTCAAATTTGAACTACATACGAGATAAAATAGCAAAAATTTGTAAACACTACTAAACAGCAGAAATTAGAGTTCTGAATGTGTGTATATTTATTGCCTGAAAATTCTTTCAAGCATATTATGAAATCTGTTATTTATTTTTTTTACAAGCATTAACTTATGCAAGATACTTTACTAAGTAAACATACCTTTTTATAAGTGCAAACAAATTCACATTTCTTTAGTACTTGCAACAGCAATGTATGGGATGTATGCAAATTTGTTGCATTAGATAACATACATTAAATATCACATTAAACTTAGTCATTCTAAACAAGCATTTTAATAAAATTTAAAGAAGCATGTTATACTTTCTAAATTCTAAGGTAGTAAAATATATATTTTAATTTTGAAAAAAGCTTACAAATACCTTTTATAATGAAATTAAATTTACTAACTAATATATAATATTTACTAATATATAATATTCAACAGCTTCTTATGCATTAATACAATCATTTTTCTCAGCTGTCAATATCTACATCTTAATGACTATCAAAATATATTTTACATTCAATTTCATCGTTTTGAGCCATTTCTATTATCTTATCATAATGTATGATTTCCTGAGACACCCAAAGCGTTGATAACACAACATTTTTTAAATATACAAATGCATAAAACAGCACATTGCTTTATATGCTACATCTAAAGTGTAAGGAAATACTGAAAAAACATTCAAAATAGCATTAAGATTCACCCCATTTTCAAAGATATTTATAAAGAGGGGAATGATCTTAGAATTGGAAAAAATACAGCAATTTCTCTCCTCTCCCCCCCCCACAAAAAATACATTACACTGTATTTTTTTAAATGTACTTTATCATACGTATAAAATTGTTTGGCCTTAATTAATTTAATAATAAAGTTAAGATACATTTTAAAAAACAAAAAGTTTTAGTTTATTCAAATATTAATTATTAACTTAATTGATGATCTAAACAAAAACTGGCAAGTAAAATATTTTAATCAAGAATTCTTATATGTATTTCATCCAATATGTAGTATGCAATCAACCGCTTTTAGTTATTCATTTCTTGGATGGCACCATTAAAACATTATTTTTAAATATGAAAACAAATAGATATAATTAAGAACACATAAATGAAAATCATTCCATGAATTAATTTACCAACCTATTAAATTTTAATTTCAGAAGTATCATTATTCAATAACAGCTTCATAAAATAAAAATTCAATAGCTTTTATATTCGAACATGTAATATAATGATGGGAAAAAATCATTAAAATAATAAATATTTAGATATTAAAAATATATCCAAAGGCTATTAAAAACACTGACAGATATCAAAAATTCATTCTAAATGAACAACTTTGTATTGAAAATGAACAGTTTACTGACACTTCTCTAATCCACCGACACGTCTAAGCTTTAATGTGTTACCTTTCAAATTTTATCGAATATGTAAAATCAAAACATTCAAGAAAAGACAAACTTTAAACAACCAAATACATTCATATCAATTGTTCCGTACTTGTAACTTTGTCATTTGGCCAATCTAGCTTTTTCCCAGTTGCATTTTTGTTATTGTGGATTTACTATGTTGGTAATCTATTAGATATAATATCTGGCAATGCAACATGAAAATAATGTAAAAGTTTAGTTTTTGATAACTGGCATATCCCACGACTCAAGAATTATTCTTTTTAAACTGTATTTGCTGTAACTGTTTCTTTTCCTTTTAAGAATAAGTAATTAAATGCTATCGCTAATAAAACGCATCTCTTTTTTTCTTATTACGTTAGCTACACACATCAATAATAGTTTGACCATTACTAAAAAAGTTAAAACTATATATCATATAAAAAGTTCAAACTCAACAATACCTTGTAAGTAACTGCTTTTTCAGCTACACAAATCAACTTGATTGCAACATCATTGGAACTATTATTAGAAGGTGAGTGGAAAACCAATTCAGTTGCAGGGCTGTAAGAATATAAACATTTAAAATTAGCAGAGAAATTTTATTCCCATGTACAGTTTTCCTTAGAAAGATGCAAATATATTAAAATATGAATTGGTGAAATGCACTTGCCATATTTTCAAAATTCCTCCTATTATAGTATAATCATCTGTTATAAGTACATGGCTAGCATCTTCTTTAGGAATACTAATATGCCCATTGGCAATCTAAAAGCAAAATGAAAAATATGCATCTTAGAATAACACAGGAAACGAATAAATAGTCATTAAATATCAGATGCACCAAAGATAAAAACGCTCAAACTCTGTAGGATAAATAGAAGATCACAGTTTTTTCTTTTACCGTGCAAGATAAGAATTATTTTGCACTTTGTTATCAGAAATTGTGATCATAGTAACTAAATTATGAAGACAGCAATATCATTTTCATTAATAAGACAGTTCATTAACTAAACAGAATTCCTATTTTTCTACTATTTTCGCTAACAACCACCAAGCAACTGTTAAGAAAAAAATGAACTTTTTTTCAAGACACAATGTCTTTTGATAAAACTGATTAATTATTTTATCATACATTCTTGCATGAACTTAAATAACAAAATTGAATTATGGAGTTCATTAATAAACTGTCATACCAAAAAATTAAATATACCTGGATTGAAGAGATACTTTTCCCAGAACAGTTTTAGTACTTACCAATTTAGTACAGCATTAAGTTTTTGGTATGTAAAAATTTACTAATAAAATGTGCAATCTTTTGAGCAATAATTATATTTTGTATTACTTTTTATTTTAAAGCTTGGACTTCAAATATTAGCATAAATAGTCATTTTAAGTTCAGTTTCAACCTAGCAATTAATCTAGATTACAAAAATGTTAGTTATCTCAAAAAAAAAAAAAACAATAACATTAATGACAAAATAATTCTTAACATTATGCTTAGTTTTCATTAAAGCTACACCAAATTTTGGTATTAAATTAATTAGGTATTCTGGATGATCCTGTCTCACTCAAATGAGAGATGCATAGTGCAACGAGAAGTATATTATATTAAGAACAAAAATAAAAGTTTGAATATTTGACTCGTGGGAAAAATCAAGTATCGATAGTCAAATGTAATCCTAGCAAATACAAAAATCGTGAATCCTAGCAATCCCAGAAAGATTTAATATGGTGTAGGATTACCAGAAACAACCTCACATGCTATACAGCAGTTCAGCACATCATAAAAAAAAGTTGCTCAGCAATTCCTAAATAAGAAATGCAAGTTTTTGAAAAAGCACTCATCTGAACTCTTCAGTAGCCCAAGACCAGAGATTATGTATTACAACTTGGCAACCAGCAGTACTGTGAAATCAAATTTATATCTGTCAGTACAATGGCCAACAGTCCAGAAAGGATTTCTTCATGGATTCTAGGATTACTGAATTATACTGGACTTATGAGAAAAAAGCATTATCATCTAATAAAGAGAGTCATAACTAAATATATTCTTAAAAAGCTTCACATACTTATGTCAGATGACATTGTAATTAATATCAGTTGTTTAATACATGCAGTAAATGTAATCCTGACATAATGCCATTTCAAATGATGATACCTTCACTTTCAAAATAACAGACTTTGAAAGCATAGAATGGTTCATAACATATTTTCAGTCCTTACCAGAAACAAATATTTTGATGGTCATTCTCTATGCTGAAATGAGACTTCAACATGTACGTACCTCATATTGTACTGGGGTTGTGGGGTCAGGTAAGAAGCTCAGTATACCATGTTCTCTGGGTTCCATGTGCGATACAGTTAAGAGTCGCATTCTCCTATAATAGTACTGTATAAATTTTTCATTTGATACAATGATCCACAATATTGCTGATAGTTCTTTACTAGTTATTTGATGATTATTTGGCATTGGGCAATTATGGTCATATACCATTATTATCATGCAGTTACGGCACATAACTACTTCAATCAGATTTTCAGTTTTAAACCTTCTCTCCAAAGCAGCAAAGTTCCTGGAATACTTATACTAAATCACTCTATTCTCTCAGTGATCATACCATGCTTCATATGACTTTTTGTACCATACTGGTTGTCTAGTAATAATCTTTTAAGCTAAGAGGAAAATCACAATGCTTTTGGATGCAAATACTAAATTCTTCAAATCCAGATACCCAAATTGCCTTAAACTTGTTTTAACCCTCTGAGTAACTTAATCGTTTTGACTTTTCGTAAGATTTATAACAATTTTATACATATTTCTTTGTTATTTAAAATACTTTGCTCTTACACTTTTTAATGATCTAATTTACCTTACCAGAAAGTGGATGGCTATGATTATAAAAATAATATTAAGTACACATATCTAGTTAATGAATCCTGAATGCATCTATTTCATGAAAAAAACCTAAAAATCAAAGCTGTTCTCAGAAGATTAGGTTATCTTCTCCTCCACCACCACTACAACAACCAACATACACAATTAGTTTTCCAATTTAAAAAATCTAAAATAATTAGTTATCTAGCCAAGAATATTCATCCAAAAATTAAAGAACATTCTTCTACTTTTTATTATTATAAATACAGTGCTTTCACTATTAAGCAATTTATAAATTATAAAACATCAGACACTTGTTAACTAGACAAAAAATTTAGCAATCCCTTTTTTTTTTTTTTGGAAATTAAAAAAATGCTTAAAAAGTTTCATTTATAATCTATCTTAATACTATGTTAAACTATATTTTAGCAAAGTAAGATACCACATTATTCAGTTATAGTTACATTTTCTTTTTGAATAAAACATATGGGAACTCAATCTAATTCACAAATTTCCAAGGCAAGAAATTTAATTTAGAAGCTGATGAAAATAAAAATTCCCAAAACAGCAAGGTTGACTCAAACAGAAAGTGAAAAAGTACTTTGGCTACACTGAGATGGTGCAGTGACTTATTCTGCTACCCAAAATAAATCATTAATTCTACTCCCAATGTATATATAACCTGATATAACAATTTTTCCAATTTCATTACAATAAATAAAATGCAAAAAATTATTTCATTCCCTCAATTTTAAATACACGAGCATCAAACAGTAATCAGATTCATAATATTGTTACTCAAAATGAAATTTAATATTTTCTTTCTATTGAAATTAAAACAGAACTACTATAGCGAGGAGAAAATGCAAGGTCTAATAGGAACATACAAGCAGCTACTGTGGCAAAAGAAGGAACACTTCAGTATGCAGACTGATAGGCAAATACGTTTACAAACACAACAATAAAAACACTCTACAATATATGTATATATTGAAACTGTAGCAAAGTAATTGAGATTTGGCAACAGCTGGAAGAATTACAAATGATATTGCACCAGAAGTTTTAGAGAAGAAAGTGTGGTCCAACTTCCACATGACTAATAGCCACAAACTTCAATATTTGTACAATATACCACAATTTTCATCAATAGTTGTATATCTTTCTTGTTTTATATATATAATGTGGCTCATAAAAAAAAATTGACGAAAAACATTACATTTAGAACTGTTCCTTTGATGAATATTTTCGGCAGAGAAATTTTAAAGGACCTTTTGAAAGAAAGTTAAATTATGCAGTTTACAAAAGTCAAATAGTATTTATTCACGAATAAATATTTTCTACAAATAATGTATTTGCATAAACACCCAGACAAGGGTAATTTTCATTGAAAATATGCATATAAAATCATTTTGTATCAAATAGTCATCATTCCAAAAAATTGAAGAAATATATTCTTAAGTATCATGGCTTTTGCAAATTACATCATATCGATCAATAATATTCAGTTATGTGATGTGATGCCCTGCTTACTTACGTAATATCACAGCATATCATTTTGGATATTCATAAGAAGACACAAATCTAGTTACGTGTCCTTGATATCTTGTCTTTTTTAAAGGTTCTCAAAAGAAAATGTTTGAATCTGCATTTACACATTTGTGGGCTCTCCTGATACTAGCCAGTTACTTGGCAAAATTATATGACCATAAAAAAAATCATGAATTACTCAAAAGCTGTCACTAAAAGATTCTAAATTAAAGAAGTTGAAGTGAACTAATATGACACCAGATATGAAGGAATGGGATAAAACAACAAAAATAACAAAAAATACTGCCATCAGCAAAATTAATTTCTAGCCAATGTAAATTTACTGAATTAAAACTACTAATTTATTAGACTGGAAGGCTAAATTTATGAAAGGTTAATAAATAAAAATTCACTTCTAAGCATACAGCTGAAAAATTCTCAAAAAAATGAAAGACTTACTCAATATTCAAAAATATTATACTTACATTCTGAACACCTCTTAAAGAGTCATGGTTATGAGAGAAATGAACCTAGGAAAGTGAGTTTTGAGCAAAAGCAGCATGTTAGAAAGAATATGTTCTTAAACAGATATTAGTCTCATTCTCATTTTAAAATGCATATAATTAAACACATCTGCTTAATTTTATGATTAATTTTAAAAACAAATGGGTTATAAACAAAATGTACAGAAAAATGAAAATAATATCTGCAGAGAACATTTAGTGCACTAAATGAAAATGAACTGTAAACAAAAACATTAATATAAATATTTGCATGCACAAAGTTCAATTTGTAACTCATCTAGCTAACTTGCAAAAATGGCAAGAATGATAAAGAATTCCTTTCATAAAATTGCAAAACATACTTACATGCTTTGGTTCAGTAATTCCATTGCTATTTATTTCATTCACACATGGAGGTTCATATTCTGTGGTATCCTAAAATATTCCAGATAAAATTTTATATAATTACAATAGAAATAAAGATCCAAATATAAATAGATGAATTATATGAAAATAATAAATTTCAAGGGTTACAAATTAAACTCCATAAATATCCTTAAAATTCATCCCAGAAGAAAAACTGGTTTTACATAATCAAACTAAAAAAAAAAAAAAAAAAAAAAAAAAAATCAATTTTTTATATTTTTCAATTAAAGCTTGAAAAACTACTATATTTCCACATGTACTTTTCCCAAGCTTTTTAATGCTAGGTTCTGAAAAATGTAAAAATATTCACATTATTTCTCCCTTCTTTACAATACTTGGTTTTTCTTTCTGTGGGCTAGTTTATTCATAAATTGTATTCCCATGATTATTTTTCTCTTGAGTGTATTCAATTTGTATTTGCATTTTTATATTAGCATTCATCTATTTTACTTTCCCTTGCACTTATTATTTGATGCATAGTTTGTGCAGATTCTTTGTTAACCCTTTCCGGCACGCTACCTTTTAACCCTTTGCACTCGAGGCACTTTTCTGTCGGGTGACCCAGCAACTCGAGAGTAATCAGCCACTCCCGCTTATATCATGAGTTCCTTATTGTTAACTTAAAATAATTTTAGACACAATAAAACACTTTAAACTCATATATTTTAACATTATACATATTTTTTAACTTAATGAAACATAATTTTGCTTTGTATGATATTTTACAAAACAATCTCCAATATGCATCCTTGGCTTGTCGGGGCATTTGTCACAGTAGTATACAGTTTGTCGCCTTTGGGACGTTCTTTGGGAGCAAACCTTGCAATCTTTTTTTTTTTTTTTTTTTTTTTTGGCCCACCAAAATAATATGCAGCTTCCCATTTAGTCAGATCGCTTCAGAAATGCTGTGTGAAGCTGTGCTGAGTTGTTTTTGTCGAAAGTCTCCTCTCAGTTGAGCCACTAAAGTTTTCAAATATTATAGGTGACTAAGTGGCCGTTCGTTTCTCTGCTTCTTTACTGATTTATAAAGAATGTATGAATTGATGGAGCAGATCTCCAAACCCCAAAAATTATTTTTTGCCACCATTTTACGTATTTTCTTAAAAAACAATATGTCGAAGCCAGTTAGTCAGCTCGATCAACACTGCTCATAAATTTGATGTAATTTACAATAACATTGGGCTTTTTTATAACGACTTCAATATCGACTCAGAGTTCTTACAGGAGTTATCCCCGCATTATTCCAAGTAGTCAAAGCTGTCACAATCTCTTGTCCTTTCACACAAGAACCAAAATATTACCTTTACGATATGCACACGTGGTTCGATTCTCAAATGTTTGGCTTTTGTATTTCACATGGCAGGTGCTTTCTATTTGTCATGATTGCATTCCCAGTTAAGTGGCACTTTTGTTTGCGTAATTCTTCCGCCAATACGTAACTCGTATAATAACGGTCTCTGAACACCGGGAATTTAATCCTGTATCTTTTCGTATAGATGTAGCGGTATTCTGGTTGATACCGGTAGATCGAGTCTTATCAAAGTCTCTGTTGTTAGAGATCCATAATAGGGCAGAATAGTACAAATGAAGCCGGTATTTGAATCTGCGAGTATACCCAAATACACCATTTTGTAGGTTTCATTGGATTGTACGTAATGAATAATATGCAGCCTTTGAATTTGACAATCGACTCATCTACACAAATCTGTACTCCGGGTACAAAATAATTAAAGAACCTTTCATTTATATACTCGAGGAAACCAGATACTAACTGCAAACGGGTTCTAGGGTTTGTGTTTTCTGAGGGTATTGTCTTGAGGTGAAGTCTCCAAAATATTTGACAAAAATCGGTCTCTCGTAAATGTGTCTGAGTAAAACTGAATATAACTAGTATCAGTTTTTGACCAGTATTCTTGTATGTTTGCCAGTGGCATTGTCTCCATATTTATGATTGCTCCAATAAACGCCCAAAATTCGGTAACTGTTACATCGTATCATGATCACCATATAGAATGGGATGATAAGGTCTTCCCTTCCATCTTCCTTGCAGCATTATTGTTAGTTTCCTGCACTATATCAGTACCTAATTCCTCGGTGAAAAATAATTTGAAATATCTATTGGTTCTTTTATGTGTGCAAATACGTGCAGTCCTATTTGTCTTTCACCGGATACAAACGGTATTCTTCTGGGGATTTCTTCCGATTCTGTGCACACTGTCCAATCTGAAGGTTCAGTCTCTTCTATAAAATCACTTTGGCTTCCAGATTCACTATCAATTATTCGTCTTCTTTCTCCTCTAACGTCGTCACTATCTTTATCACTTCCGTCTTCGTTCTCATGGGCAAGCTGTCTATGTAGTGATGTAATTTCGTTCGTTATTGCCGAAAAATTAAACTAATCTTCGCTAGAAGTAACTTCTTCGTAGTGTTCCATACTTATTGGGCTCAGTAACTGCGAAAGAATACTGCATCGCTAAGAAGCAAATACTGCGATCGCTAAGAAGGTTGAGTTCGAACTGATGTCGAAGACAGAGTCCTACCCGCGGTCGCAAGTATTTTTGAGATAAGACATTTAATCGCATAAGCATTGCAAAGACAACCTTTATTTGAGATAAGACATCCTTATAGTTATTCAGTCACCTCGTAATATAATCTACAAAAGGCCAAGTAGATCTCTCAAGCGATATTCCTTAGGTCAAACACAAATAAACACATCAATTCGAATGGTGCCTCTCGGGCACCACTCGAGTTATCGCATCACATGCAGTGGTGCCTGAGAGGCACTGCTCGAATGCAAAGGGTTAAAGTTGGAGTTTTGATTTTAAAAAAAAAGTAGGCAGTCTAATTAGGCCTAGAGGAGTACACAAGTAAAATTTTGTGAAGATAGCACTTATCATTTTATTCTGTGGATGTGCCGAAAGTGGGCACACTGATTGAATAGAGCTTCGAAAAGAGTGCTGAAACGAACATTGTTGTCAATGAACTGAACAATGAGATGTGGAGAAACAAAGAATACAGACTCTTAGTTGTCCTAGATTATCGGTGAGCCCGGTCTGGGCATACCTAGGGTACACCGTTTGATTTTAAACAAGATTTCAAGGTAAAAATTTAAAACTAATATAGAATAAAGAGATTAGCATACAGCCAAAAAAATAACAGAGATTTCTTTTCAAACAATTCCTTTTATACCTTAAAAAAAATCTGGAAGATTTCTTTGAAAAATGAGCGTCTTAAAAAAACTAAACATGGCTAAAATACATGGATTAATTTGTGTTGAGCTGCCATCTACTATAAATAAAGAAGGTTCAGAGTAACCTATATTAACCTATAAATCCTTTTTCATTCAATTTTTCTGTGCATACAGAAGGAAATTTTTAGGTGTGTCCAGACCGGAGACACTCTGCCGCAAAGGGTTAAGTGACCTGGAGGTGGCATGTGTTCTCGCACAGAAACTTTACAAGCATGCAACTTCACCTTACTTCTGTTATTTATATTTCAACACATTGTAGCATATCTACTGTTGATGTGTTCAATCATTTGAAATCTGAGTCCTTCATTTACCCCCTTCTCCTTCCAGGGTTGCCACTCAAAGAGGAGAATGAAATTCCCCGACTTTTCCAGGTTTTCCAGGTATGTTTCGAGAAAATTCCAGTCTATCCGCGTAATGTACGTTGGCTGTGCTAAGAGGTAAATTAATTATGGTATTACTTGTACTGTGTAGCAAATTCACTTAATTATTCAATAAACCCCAGAGGACATTTATTCTTAATTATTCTTGGTACACTTTGTTTGATAATTTTGTTAGTTCATGCACTGCACATGCGATTCTCGAGGTTACTGGAAACCAAAAGTTGCGGGAAACTTGCTTTGCCTTTCTAAAAAGACAATCAAATTGGAGCTGCGAAAATTGGCTCTATGCCAGCTGCCCGAATGACACTCACGCGATACACAATTCGGCAAAAAAGTGATCTCTTCCAACGTCGGCGCAAAACTTGCCTTTTTTGGCGGGATCGTTGTATGAAATTCCCTGACTTTTCCAGATTTTGACTAAAACACTTAAATTCCCTGAATTTTACCTGAATTTTTTGGTCAATTTCCGAATTCCCTGACTTTTTCCGGTTTTCCAGGTAGCGTGGCAACCCTGTCCTTCACTTCTCTTCAGAACTATGGTCAAGATTCTTTCATGTGAAGTGCTATTGGGGCTTTACTAGGTAACTTAGCGGGCCACCCACTCAGTTACTGTCAGATAATGTAATGTTAATATTATTATGCATTTTTTATTGGAATGTGGATTTTGTTTAAAGAAATAATATTGTGATAGTTATCAGTATTTCAATCCATGATTGTTTTTCCATTTGTTACATTTTTACTGTAGCCGTATCCTTCAGAAATCAAGTTAGTAACATTATTTTACCCTCTCTATTTTTCTATGATAAAATTAAGGAAAAAAGGAGGAAATATGGTATGCCTATTTTCAGCATTATGCAGCTAAATGAATAAATTAAAGATACTGCAAAATAAAAAATTAAGCACATGTAGACACAAACACACCACTAAATAAAGTGAGAGAAAGGGGGGAAAAGATTGATTTAGATTGATACAGATTTAATACAAAACTCAGATTTCAAGGATTCAAGGTAACTGATATAAGTCCCTCTTACTCAAATAAATAAATAAATAAATAAAATAAATGTTTCAGATTTTAAATTATGTCCAAAGGGGTCTTTTTTTTTTAACGTTTTGTGCATTACCTTTATTTATTAAATATCATGTTCTTCACACTTATACTATAAAATTCAACAGCAATATCCCAAATTAATTTTAAAATGAGTATATCCTTACAATTTTCGATACAGATTCTCGCACACTGGAGATCAAAATGCTTTTTTTTTCGTACACTGTTGCCATTGCTAACTTTGAAATTTAGTTTTTTAATCCAAAATTCGTTGAAGTGTTACAAACTCTGAAATCGATAATAAAACAAATATTAAATTCAAATTAGGGCTATGGAAGATTAAGTTATTCAAACTTTGATGGCTGTAGGTGCCGTTGTTAATACAATGCAAGAAACATACATACATTTATGCATATTCTTCATTATTTAATTTCTTTAAATATAAGACAGGGCGATAATATATGGTGGCAATGATTTAAAAAGTGATACAGCCTTTTAAAGTTTTATGCCAAAATGAAATTAATAGTCCTTCAGGGCAAATCATCCCTCTGGACAAAAAAAAAAAAAAAAAAAAAAAAAGGTGGGGGACCAATATCAGTTGCTCTTGAAATCAAGTTTTACATGCAATCTACAAAACTCTGCTCCCCCCTTCCTCTGTCTTCCTCTTTGATGTGCATTTGTAAATTAATATGTGGGACAAATTGTGAAAATGGAAAATCATCTCTGATATAAAAAGAATACTCACTGTACCACCCATTTCTAAAGGAAGATTATCTTCTGAAACATAATCTTGGATACTTGTTTTATTTACAAACTTTATTTTCTCTACAAAATCCTCTGGAAGCCATTGTTTTATTATTTTCCATGCCGCTGAAATACAAAACATTGATATTATTAAATAAGTATGGAGAAATATGCTGCATGAGGATTATCAGACTGAATACTAAACATTAAATATCCATAAAAATAGCCTTAAAAATTACAGAAGTAATTGAATAAGAAAATGTCACAATAAAGAACTTTCAATCCCTTTTCAATGTAACTGGACAGTCGTTCTCAAAGTTACTCAGCTGCACATTAAACGATACCAATAAATAAACCAAACAAACGTTTTTTCAGATAATTATTTCACTTCATTCTTATAACATTATACAAAATTTTTATTTGCATAAGACTTTAAATTTAATTTGATGTTTCTCATTTTCCAGTCTTAAAAATAGCTGCACTTTAGTAATTTATACTTCTCATGGGATTTATTCCTAATTAATGGTTTAAACAGCACTGCTGACTCATTATGAACTCCTCTACCTAATAGCATTCAAATCATAATTCAAAATAACTAATAATAGAATACAGTACAAAAAGTCCATAATCCGGACGTCCATTATCCAGAATGATCTACAATCCGAACTTCAAAGCCACAAACTTTTTTTTTTGTATGCTTTACGCATGCACGTTTAATGTATAACGGATGGTATAAGCTATACTAAAATTATCTTAACTGATTCTAAGGCATTTCAGTTAATGTTGCAGATTGCGCTGTTCCTTAGTCTTCTAATTGGATGCATCTTATTATTTTTTGCAGACTGTTAGAGCAATTTTATAAAAATTAATCTTGAACTTTCGATTATGTCAAGAGTTTCCAATTCTGGAGCTGCCAAAGGATCTACAAAGCGAAAGCATGTCCCCAATCATCAATAAATTAACAGACGGCAAAATCTGTAGTATGGTTCTAGAGCCAGAAAATACCGCTTCTGTTAGTGAAGATAAGTGACAGAGAGATTATTGAAAATGGAAAAATTAATTGACAAGTTAGTCGGTATTCTCGACACAGCAATTACAGGACTTGAACAGTGGAACTTAGTAACTGAACAAGAAATTATGGCTGTTTATAGAATTAAAGAGAAAGTATTAGCACAAAAAACGAAGCAACTTAAACAACTTGCATTGAAAGAAATGTTTAATAAAGTAAATAAATATTAAGCTTTTGTAAATTTTGATACCCTTTAGATCATAATTGCTCTTTATTTCATAAATTATGGTTTCATATTTTTAATTGTATAATTATTGCATGTCATCTTACCAGATTTAAATTGATGATCTATAATCTGGAAAAAACCCTAATCGGGAATCGCCGAAGTCCCGATGAGTCTGGATTACGGACTTTGTACTGTATTATAAATATCGTTCTATGAGAGCAAATCAAACACTTTCTGTTTAAATTCTCTTCTGAATTAAAATTTTTCCTAACTTTTGTTTTAATGATATTGTGAAATTTATGCACAAGTTAAAGTTTATAGCAACCCCAATGAAATGTATGTGGTTTGCTAAGATGCTATGCTTGAAATACAGAACTAACTGAGATGTTTCCAACTATCTTTTAACCGCTTGCTTGATTATCCTGAGTATATATTGCAGTTAATTATTATCCCGAGAAAACTTGGACGAAGCAGAATTTGTTAGTATGATTTCTTTTATCACGGTTTTATTCGGTCTGGAGGAAATGAAAGAAAATATTCAGCTTTGATTGGCAATTTGCCAAATTTTGTTGGTTGTGTGATAATTTTGGAGGAACTGGTCACCTGTTTCCCAATTGTATTGTATACGTTGGCTTGTGGATTAGTAATGTATAAAGAAGGATGCATGGATTGAAAAAAATAAAATGATGGCGATGATGCAAGATAGCGAAAGCGATGATTTTTCAGATAATAATTATGAAGAGGTGGAAAAAAAAAAATAAAATCCGAGACAGTGTACTCTGTGCTCCCGTGAAAGAGATTCCAGCGATAAGCCAGTAAGAAAAGAGACCAGATACCAGTGTAGAATGTCGGGCATCACTCTGTGTTGTCCTTGCTTCAAAACTATCAATACAAAGATTATTATTTAACTTTTTTCCGTTTGCCCGAGATAACTAGGGATAGTAAACTAATATTAACAGGGTTGCCACTCAAACAGGAGAATGAAATTCCCTGACTTTTCCAGGTTTTCCAGGTGCGTTTCAAGTTCCAGGTGCGTCTCACGTTTTATCGACGTGGTGTTCACGTCGCTCGCAGTTTGAGACAAAAGGCACGTCTTTTTAGCGCAAGTGGTTAAAAAAATTTTAAAGGATATTCATTTAATGAACTCTTGATAACGTGACCTCCGAACTTCGACACCGGTTTCCAGCTTTGGCGGCAGATATATCACGCATGCACAGCTGTTTCCCTCTATGATGGAACGGAACCACGTCTGTTGCAGAGAGGTTTCCTTCTTTACAATACATAATCTTTGATTCTAACCTCCATGGTACCTTTCTAAAAGGCAATCAAATTGGAGATGCGAAAATTGGCTCTATGCCAGCAGACAGACACTCACGTGATAGGCAATTCGCCAAAAAAGTTATCTCTTCCGACGTCGGCGCAAAAATCGCTTTTTTTGGCGGAATCATTGTATGAACTTCCCTGATTTTTCCAGATTTTGACAAAAATACTTAAATTCCCTGACTTTTCCCTGAATTTTTTGGTCAATTTTCGAATTCCCTGACTTTTCCCGGTTCTCCCGGTTTTCCAGGTAGCGTGGCAACCCTGTATTAAAAATAAATGCTTTTACACCTTCAAAAAATTAAAAATTCAACTTAAAACCTACATATTTTGATTTGTTTCGTTTTGTTGTATTTAATAATAAAATTAAAAAAAAAAAAAAAAAAAGTGATGATTTTTTGCAATTTGTTTCAAAAAAATTTGTAAGGGAAGCGGTTAACTAAAAAGGTCTCAAATGCTAAAACTTTCATATATTCCTTAATATTTTGTATATTAAGTATTTTTATGATACATACTCTAACTTTTTTCTAATATAATATGCTCTTCTAATTATTACTTATTTTACAAGTCAGTATTCATATTCATGAACTCCACGAACTAATTTTTTTAATAGAAATTGATTTGTTAATCTATCTTTCTAATTTTTTTGCAATAGAGACAAATGTAAAAGTTCACTTCTTGTTTAGTAAAGAAATTTCAATTAAATGCATAGAATAATATTTGTTCTCTTTTAAATGTTGCACTGGACAGAAATATTCAAAAACATTGCATTTCAGATAACAGAATGATATATATTAGAATCATTCCTCACACTCGGTAGTTGAGTGGCTTTCTTGTAAGATAGTTGGTTTAATACAGAAAATTTTATGTTATTTGAAACAATTTCTTAAATCAATTGATATATTAGCATTCTGAATACAGCAGTATTTATGTAGGCATTTTATGTTAAGGACGGCAAATAAAATTCTACATTTTTGTCACATTTTACCTTTCCCCAAAGTAAAACAGCAGCTGATATACATAAAAAGATTTGTATTGTGTATAGGATGATACGCTAATGAATATACCACAGAATTAAATATAGCAGAACAAACCACAAAAGAAATATAGCAGAACTGGCTTGCAACATATCATTTTAGTAATATTTTCACTTCAAAATGTAAGACATTCAGGTAGACCAACTGAAAGTGATGACTATAACTAAAAGCGCTGATTAGAGTAGGTCATTACATAAGTGTAAATGAGCTTGCTAAGTATTATATTCATCCAAAATAATTACTGATTAGAAAAGCGTAGTTACAAAAAAAAAAAAAAAAAAAAAAAAAAAAAAAAAGGGGGGGGAGAGAGAGATTCTTAAATCCCACATAAAATTTGAGCAAGCATCATTTCATTCAACAAAATGTATCAGCAACATATGATTTATTTTTCACACATACGAGTAATTAAAATAATAATTTTTTTAATTACTGACACTTCTTGTGAAAAATAGATTGTTTACAGTAACTCTGATTACAAAAGATTACAGTCAAAACCTGGTGAGCAAATTCACACAACATCAAAAGCTATTATTCATTAAAAGAAGGTCATGTCACAATTTGGTGGAATTAGGAAATCGATTATTTTCAGTTCTTATCATGGAACAAAATGACCAATTCCAGTAAACACAAGAATTAAACTGAAAGATGATTAACAAGAGAAATACCTAAAATTGTTGAATCAAAAAGGCACTAGGTGTCATCATGACAATGCCAAACCACATACAGCTTTATTAAACATCAGACAACAGTACAGTCTGATAGAGATATGTTACCATATGCACCATAGAGATTTGACATTTCACTAAAGAACCATTCGTTTTATGTTCTGTAAAACTCATCCTTAGGTAAAACCTTTATTTCAGATAAGTGTCAAATCCCACTTTGAAAAAAAATTTTTTTTGCCAAAAAGTACCAGAATATTTGAATGGGAAATCATGAAATTGCCTGAAAGAGAGCAAATAGACAAAATGTGAGACCTCTAATATGAGAAGAGCTTTAAAAAAATACATAAATCCAGTAATTAGAAGGGGATATGATCACCTCTGACTGATATAGGAACTACATCTGCCCATGCTGAGAACAAGGTTGTCAAGGAGCTGCTGAGGCATAGCTCTCCATTCCTCTTATAGCATATATTTCAGCAACAAAAGCATTGCTGCTAGCTAGTCACATGGTGCCAAGTGCCTTCTGAGAGGGTTCCACATGTGTTCTACGAGATTTAGGTGCAAGAACCTTGCAGGCCCATTCATACGTTGAATACCTTCATTTTCTAAAACTTCTGTGACAGCTACTGTGCAATGAAATGTAGTGTAGTTGCCCATGAAGAAGTCCAGAGCATCTCTAAACAGGTGCATACAAGGCAAGAGAACCTTGATACAATAGTGGACACCACTGACTCAGCCTCCTTGGAAGATGTGGCAGTCAGCATGGCTACCAAGCATGATACCACCCAAAACAAGAACTCCGGCACCTCCAAAATGATCCCTTTTGGTGATGTTGAAGGGGTGATTGCATGTTCTTTTCTCTCTCCAGATGCATAAATATCTAGAATAACTTTTCAGGCTAAATCGAATCTCATCTGTTAAAAGCACTCAACTCCACTCCTGTTGTGTCCAGTTCTTGTGTTCCTGACACTACAGAAACCAGCATCTGCATTGAGTGGACACAAATGGCACACACCATATTGGTCACTGTGCATATGGAGCATGTTTATACAGCATCCTGGTCATGGTAAAGCGGGATATTGTATGTTCAGTAAGTACAGGGGTTGGACAAAAATATGGAAACACCTTTAAAAAAACATGTTTCTTTGCTTAATATGGTGTAGGAAACCCATTGGCATCCAAAACAGCTTGCAGTCTTCTCAGAATGGATAAATGTTTGCCAAGGGAATATTATACCATTCTTCCTGCAAAACGGTGGCAAGTTCAGATAACGATGTTGGTGGTGGATAACGAGAACGCACTTTCCGTTCCAATGTAGACCACAAAGGTTCGATAATATTCAGGTCTGGTGACTGTGGTGGCCAGGGGAGATGGGACAACTCATTCTCGTGCTCAGAAAACCAGTCCTGGACAATGTGAGCTGTGTGAACAGGGGACAATGTGAGCTGTGTGAAGATACCATCACCATCGGGGAACAAAGTTTGTACCATGGGATGAACTTGATCGGCCAAAATGTTCACATAAGTCTTGGCAGTCATGTGCCCTGACACAGTTATCATGGGGCTAGCAGAGAACCACGATATGGCTGCCCAAACCATAACAGAACCCCCGCCATGTTTCACTCTTGGCAACAAGCAGTCTGTATTATAGGCTTGAGATGGCGTCCTCCAGACGTAAACTCGGCCAGAAGTGGGAAACAATGTGAAAGAAGACTCATCAGACCATATTACTCGCTTCCACTGCTCTATAGTCCAAGCCTTTATGACTTAAACACCACCTTTTTCTGTTACGGGCATTAGCATCACTGATGAGTGGCTTCTCAATTGCAGCATGGCCAGCAATTCCCTGTTTATGAAGCTCCCTTCTAATTGTTTTAGTACTCACAGGGTTCGGTAACACAACATTCATTTCAGCAGTAACTTTTGCAGCTGTGGTCTTCTTATTTTTCGTCACAATTGCCCTTAATGATCGTCTGTCACAATCACTCAGGACACACTTTCGTCCGCGCTGTGATTTAGCAGATGATGTTTTTCCGCTTTTCAAATATGCGGAATAAATCTTTGATACAGTACCTCTTGAAACACTAAACACCTCGGCTACCTTGCTTACAGAAGCACCTACCATACGTGCTCTAACAATTTGCCCACGTTCGAAGTCTGTTAACTCTGACATAATGCAATGACAACCTCACATAACAGTACTCCGACAAACAACTGAACTGTTTAGCACATTTACGAAGTTGTATAGGTGGCGTCAGTAGTCAAAAACGCCAGCGCCACCTACATATTTCATTAAAATCAATTTTTCTTTTAAAACATGCATTTAACAAGGTGTTTCCATATCTTTGTCCATCTACTGTATGTTAGACATGCTTTGCATATCTTCCGCAGTCTGTCACCTGTCTTCTTGCTAGTAGGACAATATACTGGTTGTCCTCTGCTATTATTTGTAGATGACTACTGCTGAACACTAAAACAAGTGTTCCTGCTGTTTGAAATGCTCTCCAAGCTCATGAAATGATGATCTGAACAATACTATACTGAACTGAACAATACCAATGATGGGACTCAGTTTAGTCATCCATATGATGTCGCCTGGATTGCCAATTGGCCATATTGCACAAGAGCAGGAACTCGAATTAGTTGAAATAGTGGCAAACAAGACTTGCTACATACAGTAGCACCATACAATTTTGCAAATAAGTAGCAAGTTTGCACAGAAATTCAGTTTTTAGCATATTAAAATAAAAGCAATTAAAAATTATTTATGAATAAAAATTTAAATACTTACGACTTAATATCCATGGTAGTTCATATATAAGTATATGGGCTGAAACAAACATTAAACACTTATGTAGCAAATTATTAATCCATTTTTAATGTTTATTATCATCATACTTTTGGCATGAAATTAGCAGTACAACAAGCTTATTCAATCAAAAGCACAACAAGCTTATTCACAGCGCAACAGAACCATAGTGGCAAACAAGACTTAAAACACACAATGAAAAAAATCATGGCTGTGCACTGAATCAGTACTATGAAATAATACTTAAAATATCTTTCATAATTCTAAACAGCAATTATTAATATCTTAAAGGTGAAAATATAAAATATATCAAAAATGAAACTAACTAAAAGCATAAGAACATTTCCAGTGAACACTGATGTAATAACAATTTGCAGTGAATTAACACATATATATAACATAATAAAATCAAATGTTTCATTTATCTCTGATAAACTTCCAAGTTGTCTTATCTCTTATTAATAAAATCCACTCTTTAGACCTTACTTTCTAAATACCCAACTTTAGATTTCATATCTCGGCAAAACCAACAGCATTAAAATTTCATATTAAAGAACATGAATTTTATGACAGGAAAGCAAAAATAAATAAATCTGTTATAAGCAATAATTATTGGTTCTTTAATCACTTGATTATAATTTTGCTAAATTTGCCTAAAATATTTTATTAGTTGGTGAATTAGATTTCCTTGAAATATTCACCAAAATATGTCAGCTATAATTACTTATTTCAATTTGAGCCGGTTTCCCTTAAAAATCCAACAAGTCCCTTATATTTTGCACACATATTCTTTGCGGATGACAAAGCGATTTTTTCAAAATCAATTTAGATTTTATAAATTTAACGTTTAAACAATTTTTAAATATATCTTTGTTTAATAAACAAACTAAAAAATCTTGAAAATTTATTGTTTGTTTAAATTTTAAGATAAATATAAAAAGAATTTTTTAATGAAATTTATACAAAATTTTTAATGCAATTTCAGATTTTTGGTAAATTTTTGAAAACTGCTAGGTTTTCTTCAACTATATGACATCTATTCTAAAATTTCAATACCTAAGAATGCATCTCTACATATAATAAAACAAACAGTCTGTCTGTGTGTGTGTGTGTGTCTTTTGTTTGAGCTGTGCGTACGCTAATAGACCGACGGCTACGAAATTTGCGACATAGGTGCATCTACACAAGAGCCAGTGCACCTTGAAGCGATTCTTTCGAAATTCGAATTAGAAATTTTTTTATTTTATGTTTTGTGATGAAATGGCGTCATTTTGAAACATAATGGGCTATAGGAAAGCGAGATTTTACTCTACGCACTCCATTTTCATATCGTCATGAAATGTAGGCACTTAGCTATTTTACGAAATTAAAATAAATTCCGTGTTTCAATAAATTGATTATATACGAATTTATTTAACACAGCTTAACACCTTTTCAACGAGATTTTTTCTAAAATTTAAGTTTATGTTTTCTAAAATTTAAGTTAAGATTTAAGTTTATGTTTAAAAATGTACAGTTTATTTTTCTTTGATTTTTGGACACATTAAACTTTTATCCTTGCGACTGCTTTTGCAAAAAGAATTTTGAAAAAAATGATAATATTTTGTATTTTTAAAAAATTTTTTAAATGAAGCTTCCGAGTACACTTCTCACATCTTTAAAAATGTGATTTTGGCAACAATTTTCCTTTCTTATTGTTGTTGATAGATTTTTGATGAAATCGCATCATTTTGAATAGCTTCATTCTTTTAGAAATATGGTTTTGGCAACAATTTTTCATTGGATTTCTTATTTCACTGCTTTTAAAAGATTGGCATATATTTCATTGTCACTTTTTTATATATATAATAATATTTTATTGATGTTTTTGATAAAGTTGTTCTGCAGAGCAAAATTGTGCGCGGAATTTTTTGTTTTTTGAGTTTCTTTCATGTTATTTTTTGCTTAAGATATTGAAATGTTTTGCATTTTTTTCTTCAATGGAAAGTTGGTTAATTTTGTTTATTAGGAGAATTAATATTTATATTAAGGGATACAGTTTTTTTCATTGTAAATTTTAGTGCTACTTTGGTAGATGGTTGCACGGATTTTGGCGATTTTTTTTTGACAAGTAATACGGCTTATGGTAAACCCATTGCTGGATAAGTTATTTATGGTAACCGATACTTTGCTGTCATTTTATTTTAAAAATAATGCGTTTTATTATGCATAAATTCAGTGTTTTAAATATTACTTATGGCTTCTAAATATTAAAAATCAATTTAATTATGCATTTTTATTTGAAATAAAATTTTATATAATTTTATGTTGTCGATGATGTAATCAATGACGTCACCTTACAAAGTAATTGGTTTTATTAATATCTATAAATTTAATCTAATGTTTTAAACACTATTTATGGCTGTTAAATATTAAAATACAATTTAATTTTGCATTTGTTTTAAAAATGATTTTATTATGAATGATTATTTAAATAATTTTAATTCTATGCGTGATGAAATCAACTCCTTGATTGGTAACTGTATATTTGTGCATTACCACGCCATTTTAAAATTTTATTATTCATCTCTTTGATTTTTAATTTCGAATTATTAATCTCAAATTCCTCAGATTTCAAATGGAATGGATACGTCCGTTTCGAGGATGAATGTTGTTATTGGTAATTACCAAGAATTATTGGTGTCAGAATAAGAAATTTGCCCTTTGAGACCTTATTTTGGCCAACTTGGCTTTCCTAATCAAAGATTTATTTATAAATTGTTAATAGCATCAGAGGAAATTTATTTTAAATTTTTCGAGAAAACCTCGCTAATTGCTTCTTCAATGAAGTGCGAGAGACGTGGATCACAGATAAAGATCGTTAAAAGATTCCTTTCCCCCCCTTTTTGTGGTACTTATCAATATAAGACACGTAAAATACTTTAAAAAATGTAATGTACATAATTTTCTTTTACTTTATAATTGTATACTTCAACTTTTATTAAAAAATTAATACAATGTTTTCAAAAATTCCTGAGATATTTATTGCCACGTATGTTTTAATGTTAAATAATTAAATCCTATAAAACTTACTTTAAAGTATTTAAGTAATATTTTAATTCTTTTAAATGTTGGTATGATGTTTTTAATTTGATATTCAATTTAAGTAATATTTTAATCCAATTAAATGTTGGCACAATGTTTTTATAGCAGTGTTTTTATTCTATTATATGAAAGTAATAATTTAACCTTACTTTAGCATTTTATACTCTTAGTAAATGTATTTATTTACATTTGCCAGCCATCTTAAAAAACAACGTTTTCAACAAAAAATTACTCCATTATTTTGAACGATATTAATTTTTTTAAAGTTTTGACTACTTTACTATATGCGTAAAATACGTAAAAAAAGCATTTTTCAGGACGGCTGATGACTGTAAAAACTGCGCCAATGTAAATCACCAAAAGTCTGTGCAACCGTCTACCAAAATAGCACCTAATTTTTTTTCTCTTGAAAATATAAGATAAAATATCATTAATTATACTTTGCTTTTAAGATTTTTTTTTTTTTTTTTTTTTTTTTTTTTTTGTTCTTTTATGTTATTTATTGCTCATTTCACTGTTTATAAGATATTGAAAAGTTTTGAGAGATTTTTTTATGAAAAAAGTTCTTAACCTCCTTTATACCATTTGAGTTCTTAAGATTTTCGAAAGGGAAGTTGGTTAATTTATTGCTTAGGATAATTAATATTTGTATTATTGAGGGATATTGCTTATTTCTTTGTAATTTTGTTATACGTAAAACTTTTTTTATGAAGTTGTTCTGCAGAGTAAAATTCTATGCAGTTTTTAAATTTAATGTTTGGTGTTCCCTTCAGCCATTTTTCCGGTACATTTAAAAGCCAGATGAAGGCTGGCAGCGAAGCTGCTAGTCCGATATAAAGTTTTGAAATTCTACATTATAAAACAAACTCTTCACCTTCTTTTAAAAGAAAAATGATTAACAAATATAAAATGCAAAAATTTTAAATTTAAAATAATGTGCTGCAGCATAAAATCGAAGGTAAAGTAACTGTTTCCTCCAGCATCATTTGTAAACACAGTTTTGCAAAGAATTAAACTTAATACGGAAGTTCTATTTCAAAAGTTACATATACTTTTCTGAGCCTTTCATTTTCAAAGTTGATTTCCTTAATTTTAACGCAATATGTAATACATTTTATATTAACTTTAAAATTCTAACATTTAAAAATGTATTTATTACAGTCAAAAGTCGTTAATCCGGACTCGGCGATTCCGGATTATCGATTTTTCCGGATTATAGATCATCAGTTTAAATCTGGTAAGATGGCATGCAGAAATTATAAAATTAAAAATATGAAAGCGTAATTTATGAAATAAAGAACAATTATGATCTAAAGGGTATCAAAATTTACAAAAAAAAAAAAGCTTAATATTTATTTGTTTACATTATTAAACATTTCTTTCAATGCAAGTTGTTTAAGTTGCTTTGTTTTATGTGATAATACTTTCTCTTTAATTCTATAAACAGACATAATTTCTTGTTCAGTTACAAAGTTCCGCTGTTGAAGTCCTATAATTGCTGTGTCGAGAATACCGACTAATTTGTCAATCGAAATTTTTTCATTTTCAATAACCTCTGTGTCACTTTCTTCACTATCGGAAGTGAATTATAGTGATGAGGAATTTGATTTAAATCATATCAAAGATGGAGTACATCGAGATGAAATACTACATTTAGTAAGGAATTATAAGCCAAATAAAATAAAAACATCTGCCCTGAAGATAAGGATAGTGCTGACAGATCAACTTCCAATTCATTGCGCGCCGCGGCGTACCTACCCCACAGCAGAGCAGCGAGAAATTGATAAACAGATTTCGGAATGGTTAGATAAACAAAGGATTATGCCTTTATCCATTTTTTGCAGCAATTCCGCTTTTTGTTTAATGGAGTTCAAAAGATATTTTTGCTTTGTAGATCCTTTACATATTAGTAAATATATATCGGAAATTCTATTTGACATAATCGAAAGTTCAAGCTTACTTTTATAAAATTGTTCTAACAGTCTACAAAAAATAATAAGCCAGATCCAATTCGAAGATTAAGGAACAACGCAATCTGCAACATTAACTGAATTAGATAATTTTAGCTTAGCTTATACCGTCCGTTATACATTAAACGTGCATGCGTAAACGTATTATGCGCATGCGCAGAAAGTTTGTAGCTTTGAGGTCCGGATTATGGGTGTTTGAATTAACGACATTTGACTGTATAAGGTTTTCTAAGATTATAAAACAAACTTTTTACCCTCTTTCAAAACAACACTAATAAAAAAAAAAATACTGCAACTTTCTTGAATATTTTTTTAATTACTTGCCTTTTTTTATATAACTCATTCATGGTATTTGATGTTACGATCAAAACTTTGCCACTGACTTTTAAACTACTTCCCGAGGAGCTCAAATTTTGCTCACACACCCATTGTGGATAACAATACTATGTGGTAAAATGATTCTTTTGACATTAGATGTTTCAAACTTATTTAGATATCTTAATGGTGAAAAGGCTTTTCACGCATATCTTTGTTTATTGAAGAAACTAGAACTCCCAGAATTATATTGTTTGCACCATGGTTCTCTTTACAAAATTCATGTACGATTTTATATCATGAATAATAAAAGCATGGGTACTTAAAGAACAAAAACAGATAATCAAATTGCAATGTCAAAAATACAAACCATTACCTCTACGAATTAATTAAAGCATCTCATACTTTTATTATTCATAATATAAAATCAAAGATAAATTTTGTAAAAAGAATTATTTTTTATTTGGCCCATTTATATGAAGCATTTTTGGCCTGCAGCACAAACTACTTTTTTACTTGAATACTGAAGATCTATGCTTTTCTCTATTAAAATATTTGATTTGCTTAAAATGAACATTAATCAAAGGTTGAATTTTGCTACTTTTAAAATGCAATCCACACAAAATATTTTACCATTACTACATTTGCATATCTTGATGGTTGTATGAAAATATTCACTTTTTTTTTTTTTTTTAAATTTAGAGCTTAAAATTTGAGTCATGATTTGAGCAAACAAAACAGATTATTCTGTAGTTAAGTATACGCTGCTGTAAAGGATGAACACTGCAGTTTTCAATTATATTTGAAGATATCTATCTACATGAGTAAGCGACACATGCTCAAATACACTTACAAATAGGAAATAACTGTTCATTACTTTTTATTTATGGAAATGAATATTTAGGCGATTTACAATTATGCAACACATTCATAAGATAAATATCCACTTGCACTTACCTAAGCTGTGAGGATAATATGACCTGAATAATGTGATTAAAAACTTGATAAGATCTAAATCCTAGACAAACAAGATAAAATAATAAGAGTTAGTACAAATATAACACAGAAAATTGAATAAATAATAATAAAAAAAAAACTTCATACAGGGTTCGTTCACTTTTCTGCACATGGAAATTAAGGACTTTTAAGGACCATTAAAGAAAAAAATTAAGGACCTATGAGATAATGCGAACTGAATAAATTCAACTAAAATTACTATCTATGCCTGAACTTCACATTTATAATACCATCCTAAAAATAAAATAGAAATAGTTTGAGAATAAAATAAACTTTATGAAATTTATCAAGTAGCATTAAATATTTTACACTCATAACAGTTGGAAATATTTAAAAGATAAGTGACATTTTATTTACGTTCAGTGGCATAGCTAGGGTGGGGCAAGGGGGGACATCTGTTCCCGGGCGCAGCATTCAAAGGATGCCAAATTGATGCTACAGAATTTTTTAATGAAATGTTTTCCATTCTTGGCACACAGAAAGGGATGCAAATTCTTCAGTTATCCTCAGGCGTAGGAAATTTAGCTTTATGTTGATTTTTTTTTAAATGTCTCATTTTGTCACATACTTGCTCAGTCTAGAGGTTTAGTAAATAGCAGGTAGATTTTATGTCAAGTAGCTTAGGCTGAAATGAGAAGTAAGATCATAATCAGCATGATTCATAACAAAAGACTGGATGTTGTCACCACTGCTTTTTGCCTGCAGAGAGACCTGCTGATTGGAACAAACTTGAAAGGCCTGACGTAGGCATGGTTGGCAAGTTTTGAAAGTTAGTTGGGCTCTGTCTGACGCGGTTAGTGTTACAGTTTTGTGTAGAGTTCCAGGGGTTGTAACTCAGTTAATACATTAAGGTTCCAATAAGCCATTAAAGCACCAGAGGTGATAAGTTGTTTTGTATTATTTTAAGTCTCACTAGCTGCAAAGAATAAGTTTTACATGAATTTTTACATTTTTGTGTTTCATCTTGTGGCCACAGTAAGGATTAATGAAATCCAATAACTCGTTTTAATATGCAGAGATAATTTTTAAAAGTATGTTGTTAGTTATAAATAATTAAATTAGGTAGTTTGATAACCTTAGTCATTATGAATTTACATGACCACTATTAAATTTTATTTATTTTTTAACACTATTTGTTAAAAAAGCCCTATTAACATCACAATCTAATAAAATTGCACAGTTAAAAATGCATGTAATTTATGACATCGATTCTTAAATGATATTATGATAATTACACATTAAAAGCCACAAAACATTTATGTTTTGTAACAAGAACAACGGTTAACAAAATATTTATGCGTCTTTTTAATTTGAAGCTTTCTTAGATATTTTGTCTAATTTATATTGATTTACTTCTCTTTACCTCTTTCACATCGAGAGAAGGCCAAATCTGGTTTCTTGAAACATCGAGAACGCCCATGTACACGAGTTTTTCCTGAAATGGTTTTCCTCCACTCCTGTCTAGTAGGCTGCTACAGCGTTAACAATAACCTACTTAAGTGAATTGATTACTATCTCTTTATCTCTTGAAGGGGTTTTCCCTTAGGACAGGATTGCAAATGGGAGCATCAGTAGCTTTCTATATTTCTCCTCAATATTTTTAATGATTTGAGTACTTTATATTGCTTAAAATAACTGGTTTTAAGATGCGATAGTGTATATTTAGAGGAAACAATTATGTATATTTATGGGGTCAGTAAGATTTTTCATTGTATAAATTAAAGCGCAGTGATTCTTATGATAAACAAAAATACGTAAAGGCAGTGTGTGTACATTGATTTAATTTATTTTATTTAATAATGTTTTCCTTGATTCTTATATAAAAGAACTTACGAATAATTTTTATAAATAGAAAAGTCTGGTACCTTTTTATCTATTGCCACTGCAAGAACAAAGAAATATTTAGGGCAAATAGTTTAGTTGAGAAATGGTGGTTTGACAGAGCTTGAATATTACCAGTTACATTTTACAGCCATCCAGCATGAAAATTATTTCTAATATTTCTGCAGTTTTCTGCTAGTAAATACAAAAACACTTTCATTCAGCAAATTTATTTCAAAATAAGAGCTATAGAAACCCTCTCTCTTTTCTCTTATTATTGAAATCCCTTCATATAATTTGCATCCATTTACAGGATTAGCAATAAGCATTTATTAACATGCCTTTAATAAATTTATACAGATTTCAATCAATTGTTTATGAATTAATACAATCTCAGAAGGAAAGTAAACCTTTACTCTTATATTGAAAAATAATTATTAGCTGTATATATTTGATGGTTTTAAAACTCGTGTTTCAGAAGAAATATATACTTTATCCGGGACATTTTAAATGGTTTTAACATTATAATTTTAGTTATGCATTATCAGGAACACTTATGATTATTAAAAATTAAATAACCCTCATACTTTCTTGAAATTTCAAGTGTAGGATACAAAAAGATTAAAAGAGATTAAAGAAAGAACAGTTAAATAATTCATTAAACTTATTTTTCTTCATATGAAGGAATATTTAAATAATGCACAAAGGTAGAAAAATTCATTTCTTTTTACATTTTATATTATTTTCATATGAAATCATATAATTTCTCTTTAAGTTTAGAAAGCAAACAAAAGCTTTCCTTTTGCATTATTTGCTGGCCCTGAAAAGGGCCTTTTTTATATAGCAAGAGAAACTGGGATGTCTATTCATCAAAGCAGCCTTTACAAAGGCACATTTTGCAGATTTCACATTCCCATGTGCTTTGAATAGAATTGTTTGCTGATGTTTTATTTCTTTGCTTTCGACATTTAACGCACGTTCTTTTACGCCCTTCAATTTTTCTTCGTTTATGAAAATGACTAGTAGTGGGTTCAAATGACGCTGAAGTGCGCTTTCTATATGAATACACATTTGCTAATTCTTGTACGAGTTCCAGCTTGAAATCATACAAAGTTTTTGACCGTTTTTGTTGAGGATAATTTGTCGTATGCTGAATTATATAAGCATTATTGATGGTAATATCCAGAAGGAACCAAAATATATACAACCACCATTTGGATGATTTTCTGGCAACTGTATAATATTTATGTCTCTGATCCGCCAAATCTACTCCTTCCATGTGCGTATTATATACTGCGAATGAACGTGGGCAAAGAATTTCAATTTTGTCTGCTCCTTTTCTTCTGTTCACATGACACAGTTCATTTTTTGTATTAGTTGATAGCATAAAAATTTGCTTTTTATCTACCCAAGATGTGCACAACAAATTCGGAAATTTTTCATTTTGAAAAGTCTGACTTTCATTTGGGATTTTCAATTTTAATGTTTTAATTTCATGTGGCAAGTGCTTTCTGTTCGGCATAACAGTTCTGCAAGAATAAAATTTGTACTTCAATGAATCAACCATCAGCTGAACGCTGGTAAAAAATCGGTCAAAATAGAGTTCATGTCCCTTGCTTGTTAAGGGTTTTATCAAATGTGTAACAACATCGTATCCCAATCCTTTGCCTGACCTCACAATTTTATCTCGTTTTCCAGCATACAATTCAAAATTTACAGTGTAACCTAAATGAGATGTGCATAACATCCAAATTTTAAGCCCACACTTATCTGGTTTTAAAGGCATATACTGCACAATTCCTAAATGCCCTTTGAATTTTACCATAGCTTCATCAACCAAAAGATGTTTATACGGCTTAAAACAATCTGAAAACCGCGCTTTTATCTTAGAAATAACAGGCTCTAATTTTTGCAAAAACTGAAAGTTTTCATCATTTCCCTTTACCTCTTTCTCTCTGTTAGAGATATGAAAATAATGTTTAAGTTTTAAAAATCTATCTCTGCACATTAATTTCTTTATCACTTCGTTGCCGAGTATAGGATTCTGAGACCAATAATCATTTATTCTAGGCAAACGCATAATGCTCATTATGAAAAAAACAGTTATAAAAGCTCAAATCTCATTTACGGAGAGTATAGGCTTCCAGCTTTTATCTTCAATACCACTTTTTTTGCACAAAACTCTGCGTATTTATTTGTATTCTGTCTAATTACTTCGCAGTATTCATCAGGCAGAAGTAATTTTAAATAATCTAAAGCAGATGATCCAGTTGGCAAATCATGAGACGGTCCAGGTGACGAAGAGAAATGTTCCAATTTTATGTCCTCGTTATTTATGTCATTTCTCCAGTCTGATTCGAAGGTATCATATGAAGAGCCTAAATTTTTGTCGTGTTCTAAATTATAATTGCATTCAATTTCATCCTTTCCGTTATCTATCAACATATGTTTTGAATGTCCATCATCTTCATCAGATTCAGCGTTATCAGATTCGTCTGTTTCTTCAAATAATATTGCATTTATTTCTTCTTGCGTTAATATCTTACGTCTTCTGATCATTTTGAGATGAAACTACAAAATAAGAGCAAGACGTTTTCATAACGTGAGAAAGGAGTAAAACGAGCAATCTAGACTCGAGTCACCTACCCTGGGAGCGTTGAGGCTAATCAAAGAGGAGCCCACCTGCATTCAAATAAAAGAGCTACTTCAGTTGCTTCAAAAGAAATGATTGACATGTCATTTAACAGTTCGCGAAACCAATGAAGCATATACTCCGGGATGGGGGAAAGCATCAAGTAGAAGACGAACGAGGCGGTCGGGCGACCTGCCGATGCCTGAATGGCCGGGTGTCTTAGGCGTTTTCGATGCGAAAGAGTTAAGCATCTTTTCTAACAATCAGAAATTTGTCTCAATATACAAACCTAGTGTTCTCACTAGTTTTTGGGTGCTTTATCTCCTAACAGGGTTCATAACCACATTTTAGTTAAAAAATAAGCACCTGTTTAATTACATTATACACACCTGCTTAACCTTAAAAAATTAGACTTGTAATTTAAAATATGAGAAATGCAGTATTTATTAGGAGAGAATAAGCATTACCTCAACTATGGAAAATAATTACTTTTTTTTTTTTAAATTTTAAATAACAGTTCAATTTACAGAACCAGTTTACAATGAGAGGAAAAAAAAAAAAAAAAAAAAAACAAAAAAAAAAAAAAAAAAAAAAAAAAAAAAAGAAAAAAAAAAAACTATGCAGAACTAAACTATATTACAAGATTTAATGAAGAAATTTCAGTTCAAAATAGAGAAAATAAATAATAATAAGGCATATTTATTGTATTTGCTTGGAACCTAATAATAAATACAATTTACTTTTCCACTCATATTGATATTTAAATAATTTAAATATAAATTCTGAACATTTTCTAAATTTTCATTATATATCAGTTTTTCCTTAACAGATATTGCAAGCAAAGTAATTTACGTAAAGAAGAGGAACATTTCTGAAATCAGAAGACAGAAATTTGCTTCACGCGGTCATCCTTTAACAGTAAAAGCTTAACTAACCCGCATACTTGGAAATTGGCGAATATTCAGACAGTCGAGCGTAACTTGCAAAAGAGGAGCGGAAAGGGGAGTTGACTGTAGCCGCTCTTTAGAATTTTTCCGCTCAATAAATGCTTTTGACATTTCAATATGTGCATCATATAAAAATAAACCAATGAAACTGAAAAATATTCTGCTTAGCAAGCACAGTAAAACTCTTTTAAGTGTTCATAAACAAATCTTGGACAGAACAAAAAAATTAATTATCTCTGCAAAATATCGCAAACATTATTGCACAATACGTGCGTCATAATTCCTCCCTATTTGATATTACGCAATTGGAATCAACAGCTGCTGGTATTGGGAGAATAAGGAACTAAATAACTGGGGTGTTTTTCATTCTGATTTTCAACAGACGGCGTTAAATTTCCGGAATAGAATCATTCTTCGCTTGAGTTGGTAGACCGCAGAACTTTTAGTCCTATTCAATCCAGACTGGATTCAGCAGTTACTGCAACTATGTTATTATAAACATTCATACATATGTTCATAATTTAAGCTTAACGATCATAATAAACATGAATATGAACTGACCACGCGGAACGAGAATGCAAATTATTAAGATCTTGATAGAAATTCAAACGTGCGTAGTATTTGGGTGGGATGAAAAGAATGCCGAAATGTACCAGGAATTTTCTACCGCTTTCGCAATTCTTTGACCAATAGAACGACAGTGCACCTTGTCTGTACTCTTTGTGCAGTACCAAAGGTTATGTTAATGCAGAGAAAAGGGGAAAAAAGCTATTTCTGGGAATATGATTCACCATCTGACATTCCACATTAGGAAAAAAAGTTGTTTATTTAGTTTCGGCTTTGGTACGGGGAAAAATAGCGCGCTCATTAAAAAAAAGCACAAAAAGCAAAAAATAAGCACTAAAAAAGGGGGGGGGCTTTAAAAAAAGTAAGCACCTATAAGGGCTTTATATTTTATTTTCAAATATAAGGACTTATAAGCACTTATAAGGACCGCTATGAACCCTGTCCTAACTTGTCAACCTCTCCACAACATACCTATGAGGGTAATTTGATCTGGTAAAAGTTAAATAGTCCAAAACCCCCTGAGACACGTGAAGCAAATTATGTCTGAAAGTAACTACAATGTCAGGCAAAGGTTTAAATAAGCCTCTTATTTAAAAAGAACAAACATAAAGGCATGTTCTGATGCTAACAAAATCAATTACAGCTCATGGTGATATAATTAAACAGGAACAGTCAAATTCAAACTAAAAATGTGGACTAGTGGTCATTCATTGTGTATAGAAAGAGATCATCATGATGCATGCGGGCTTAGTGGTCAAAGACTATGCAATTTAATTTTAATTTAAGCTGGCTCAATAACTATCATATAAGGAAACAGAAATGGAAAATTATAGTAAAGAACATAAACCCTGAAATCATAAACAACAGGATAATTTACATAATAATAACTGTACATATCTTTGAAGAATAATTTTCTTTATGCATTCAGTTTCTTTTTTCAACATGATTCCTTTCCATTTTAGAATTTTCGGATTTAAATAAAGATTTCTGTTATTAAAAAAAAAAAATGCATTTATAATGTATAGAAAAAACTGCTAATTTTATTTCTTTAGTAATATGAACATTCAGAAAAATATGAAATATATATGGTAAGGGCCGGTTACAGAGCTGGTGTAACAGAATTTTTAGAATTTAGTGACACACCGAGCAACAAATTCTAGAAATGGCAAAACTTTTAGAATTTAGAGCAGGCATTGGAAGCAAAATTTAGAAAGGCATTACACAGAAGAATTTAGGATCCACAGAGATTGCATTAGGTGGGAAAATGCTCCATGCATGATGCATTAAAACATATTAGATGAATCTTTTAAACTGTAAGTTTTCAATTTCTTTTTAATAAAAATTCCTTTTATTTTTTATCCCACGCCTGTCCATGTGATAAGATTTGAAGCATTTTTGATATTTTCCATATGTGTCTAGTGAAAAGTAGAGAAAATAAAGGGAAGATAAAAATGTTAATAGAGAAAACTGATGCATTGTCTGAGAATCCTAAATATTCTGAGACAATTACATGGAAAAAACTCTTACTATGAAAAATTAAGGAGACATTTTTAATTAATTGCATAGCTAATTTTGTTTTTGCTAAGATTTGTTTGGTAAATTGTACTTTCTAGCATTATACCTTGTTTATTTTTCAGATTCAAAATAATGTATAATAAGTTGCCAAAATAGAACTTTATAATGTTTTATTTTAATGTCATATTTTAAATATAATTTCAATATACAGTCAAAAGTCGTTAATTCAGACACCCATAATCCGGAATGATCTATAATCCGGACCTCAAAGCTAAAAACTTTCTGCGCATGCGCCGCGGGTGTGCGCGTAAGACCTTTAATGTGCGCAAGAGAATACGTTTTGCGCTGTGCGTTTTATGTATACGGACGGTATAAGCTAAAATTATCTAATTATCTATTTCAGTTAATGTTGATGATTGTGTTGTTCCTTAATTTCGAATTGGATCCGACTTATATTTTTTGCAGACTGAAGAGCAATTTTATAAAAGTAAATTGAACTTTCGATTATATCAAATAGAATTTCGATGCTGGACTCCCAAAGATCTACAAAACGAAAGTATGTTTCGATGTCCATCAAACAAAAGTGGAATTGCTGAAAAAAATGGATAAAGACATGAAGAAGGTGACAGAGAGGTTAGTGAAAACGAAAAAATTTCGATTGACAAGTTAGTCGGTATTCTCGACACAGCAAATTACGGGACTTGAACAGCGGAACTTTGTAACTGAACAAGAACTTAGTCTGTTTATAGAATTAAAGAGAAAGTATTATCACATAAAACGAAGCAACTTAAACAACTTACATTGAAAGAAATGTTTTAATAAGTAAACAAATAAATATTAAGCTTTTTTTTTTTTTAAATTTTGATACCTTTAGATCATAATTGTTCTTTATTTCTAAATTACGGTTTCATATTTTTAATTTTAGAATTTCTGCATGCCATCTTACAGATTTAAACTGATGATCTATAATCCAGAATCGCCGAAGTCCCGACGAGTCCGGATCGACTTTTGACGTATACCATATTTAATAAAATGTTCAAGTTCAAAGTTTACAAAAAAAAAAAAAAAAAAAAAAAAAAAAAAATGTCAAAAAATTCATCGGGAATTAAATTTTTCCTGGAAACTGATCTTAAAATCGCCAAATTTAGAACTGTTTAATAAAAGAATTCACATCATCAAAAGCAAATGCCTTGCTCTGAAACTTGAGTATCCTACCATTTATATTAGAAATAGGAACAAAATATAACCCATGAACCCATTCACCCCTTCAAAAGGTAACATATAAGTCAGCGAATCGCCAAAAATATTAATCCAAAATGCTAATTAACACTCAAAATGGCAGTCGTAAAAAACAGACAGAAATTTCAGATGATTAAAATTATGGACCTTCTGCAGATTTTGGCCAAAATTAAGGACTTTAAAGGACCAAAAATTGATTCCAAAAAACCGAAGGACTTTTAAGGACTCTTAAGGACCGTACGAACCCTGTTCATATAGCTATACAAAAAAGTTTTAAAATTAAGTTTCTATGCAGTATACGGCTACATTTTTGCTTGCAGCTCTATCAGAATGTATGAATTGACTGCTGACAGAATACTTATTGCATACTTGTAAGAATATTATCTTTAATAATTTAAATTAGAATGGGGATTTTCTAATCATGTATAAAAGTTAATTACCATTTTATTATATATAATGCAAAATTTAATGCTTAATAATATAATACTTAAACTTTATCTGACTATCTAAATTCAAAATTTATGAATACATATGCAAACTATAATAACAATAAAAGCAAATTAGCAATAAAGAAAGCTTCTTTAACTTTGTATCCTCTTCAAACATTGCATATTTCTGCCACGTTTTTTAAGTATCTGCTCTTTAAAAACAATGAAAATAATTATTTAATCACTGGAAGCAATATATAGAAGTAATGCAAATTTTCTTACTAGATTACTTAAACCAGCTCCAGCACAACTCATAATAACAGTCATTTGGCCACCTTTTGTTTGTTCTTCCATTAACTCCACCCAATATATCACAAAACGCCTCAACTCTCTGATAAATTCAGGAACTTTTCTGTGATATCTGACCAAAATCATAACTAAAAACAGAAATTATGTGTAGTAAAAATTACATTTATTTAAAAAAAGGAATAATAAACAGTTTAAATATTTAATTATTTTAGTATCTAACATTAAAATGAAGCATACTTCCATGTTCAAAACTTTCCTGGAAAATGCTTGTAGTGAAGTTTTATTTAAAATACAAAAAATTATTTCCTCATTCCTTTTAAAATAATGTCAGTTGGAAGACGACTCTTACTGTGGTGCCCCTACCATTCCTGGAGCACTAGGCAGAATGCTTCTTTTGATACCTGCTGTAAACCGACTACAGTGTCACCTCAGACAGCTTGAATTGTCTGAAAACATAATTCCATAAATATGGCATGAGAGGGATCTATATCTTCAATAAATAGTTCCTTATTTTTCTCTTATCAAGATGGATATATGATATCAATGTTCTAAGACAGTTCAAGTTACCCAAAATGATAAGACTGATACAATGACAAGTATCCACAGACATGGCCCTGTCACTGGGAGCACTGTTATGGCACAAAATTCATCTAATTTGCTTTTGATTTTGTAGCCCAAATGCACAAGCATTTGTTCATGATACATATAGTATTTAACATTAACAATAAACCTTGCTGCTCAAATACATGGTGTACAATGTTAACATTATAATAAAAAACAAAGAACATGATCTAGACTTATCTTATTCTTCCTGACAGAGTTCTTATTTCTAAATTGCAGGTGACGATAACAGCTTATTTGCTCTAGCAGTCTAAGCTTAATATGCAACATTGTACTAATTGGTCAACAGTCGTTTTAACTCCTTTTGCACTACAACATGAAATATGCTGTTCTGAATCATGTCACTTCACATATTCTTCTTCCTCTAAAACATGTGTTAATTGCCACCTGATTGTGAAGCTCAAGTACTGCAGTTTTCACATATGTGATATGATTTTTTTAAGAACTATTTGAAGACAGATGAATAGATTCAAAAAATTAATATCTTGAATTTAATAAATAAATTCAGTATTACAAAAAAAGTAAACTTCAAATCATGGCACATATTTACCATTTTAGTTCTTCATTAGATTACAAATACCTGAATGTTGAAATTCCCCTGGTCATCCAAAATATTTTAAAACAGGAAAAAAACAAAGCACAAAATACTTACTCAAACCTTTTCAATCTAAGATAAAAATATAAGAAACCTATTCCATAAAAATAAGAAGGTCAAATCTCAGGACCATTAAGGTAAGTATATATAATCTTATACAAGACTAAGATTAAAAAAGTTAAAAATAGTATAATGCACAAGGAAACTATTATATAAAGTTAGAGTACATAAAAAATATATATATATAGATATATATTATATATACACAAGTTCCTTTTACAATTATTATTATATAATTTCTGGAATCTGATGAAAAATTAATGCTCTAATTTATACTCATAGTATTTAACAATATAACAAATCTAAAATACCTACTGATTGGATTCCCTTCTCTGTCCTTATTAAATGGAAAGACTGCTTTTGCTTGGAAGAACTCTATAGGTATAGATGCTTGATTAACATCTGAAATTATATAAAGCATTTGAGTCCCAACTTTCTAAACTGTACATTTCATATAAAAAATAATGCATAACATTCTGTTTAAATTTCTAAGATTTCAATTTTTTCAACAGTTTTTGACTAGCATTTTGCAAATACGAGAAATTACAAAAGCTAACAAAATAGAATACACTGCATCAGAATCAAAAATTTAGATGCAAGATCATAGAGATTAGAATCCTTTTTACTTCCTTGTACGAAGTATTGTAATTGTAAAAAATTTCAAGTATCATATTTCAATGAAAATATCCATTTCAGCCTCTCGAAACCATTTGAAAGATGTTTCCATGTGACATCTGTACCTACGGACAGAATAAAGCAATGTTTTTGCCAAAAAGGATTGTTAAAATAGATTTAAAATAGATTCAGGAGAGATTTTTTTTCTTTATGTCTATATGCACATATTATATGCATCTTGTGTAATTCAAGAATGAGTAGCCGTAGGATGTTGAAATTTTGTATATAGGACTGCTATAACATGTAGTTAAGCACCTCTCTTTTTCGTTCCAATCGGCTGTACCAATCATATATAAATATATATATATTCCTACCCTGTTACCTTGCTTGGTGAGCTTAGTTTTTTTTTATTTTTACATGTTGGTAAATAGTGCATTTTTTTCTTGAAAAGTGAATGAATTATATTGTTTTTAAGCCTTCAGTTAATCTGCATGCAACTGTTGTAGAGTTATCAACAAATTAAAACTAAGTGGCAAGTTAAGCCTAACGAACTGCCAT